AAAGAACATGCTGCCTCTGTGCACTGTTATCATTCCCTCAATCCAGTCTGGGAGCCCAGCTCGGTAGTCACGAGCAGAGAAAGAAGTTCCGACGGGGAGCTCGACAAAAGAGACGGGTGGATGTGATAGTAAGGACGGCAGATTAGTAGGCAACAGTGCATGGAACTGTAGTTGACGTTTTCGGCCCATTAAGGCTTCGGCAGGGGAGACACCACTAGGAGATTCCACCTTAGGAGTGATCCTTTAGGAAAACAGGAAGGCCTAGGGTATTTCGTCCATAGTCTCCTCCACATAAACTTTCAAAAGGGCCCGCTTGAATTTGTCAACAAAACGTTCCGCCTGACCGTTCGATTGGGATGGTAGGGTTGGGAGCGAAGTTGCTGGATGTGCTGTTGGCGGCAGGAATCCTGAAAGGTTAATGAAGTAAATTGAGAGGCATTATTCGATACCAGAACATCCGGTAGGCCAGGTTGGTTGAAGATGCGCCGTAGGAAGGCGATAATGGCAGAAGTGGTTGCCAGATGCAGAGTGCAATCTCGGGCCGCTTTGAGTAGGCGTCAACCACGACTAGGTAAGTGACACCATCGGATATGCCAGCGAAATCGATGTGCACACGAGACCAAGGCCTATCTGGATTTTCCCATGGTATTGGCGGTTGAAGAGCGGGCATTTAAGCAACTTGTTGTCAACGTTTGAACTTTTCACAGGGGCGGTTGAAAATACTGGCGAGTGTCAGAAAACCGCTCAGCTCGTTTTTCACCAGCCTTAGACACTAGTATTGAATCTTAAACAGCGATGACTTCGCCTCGGTAGTCCTGAGAGTTGTGTAACGGGGTTGGTTGTGACTGGCTGCTTACGGTTAATAAGCCAGAAATGAGCATTCTAGGTTCCCTTGTCTTTTTTCGGTAATGCATTTCTGTCTATGTTGCAACGCATCTTACCACAATACTCAGGGTGAAGGTGAGTTAGAATCGAGGGAATCACCAGCGCCTGCCGAGTTCTAATTGGGCAGTGAGATGGAGAAATGAAAGGTAAGGGAGTAGAATGACCAAAATTGGCACACGTTTTCTTTGACTGATACTTAGACTCATTGATGCAACAAATACATCCGTGAGAAGTTGAGACAAACCGAAGAAAACTCTTGGCTTGTCTTGCCTGTAAGGTCAAGTCTCTTCTGATGAATAATGTTTAGCCGAGACAAACTACCTGGTTCAAGAAACAAGCTATTAAATCAAAACATATGCCCAAAATATGGTATTGACGCGTCCAAGGTGTGAACGTGGGAGGGGTGGGGAGGGGGGGGGTGTGGGAGGAGGAGGAAGAAAAGGAAGAGGCAGTGTTTTCATTGAGAGTACCGTTCCAACTAAGAGCCGTTATGCCAGTGATGTTCGTCCCATCACCTATTCATTATATTCTGACCTTGACCACTGCCATTTTTCACTACGTCCACCGACTCAGCATGAAAGAGACGCGCCATTAAAGCCTTCACTGCGTCAGCAAGTGCGCAGCTCTTATTTATTTACACAGTTGTGTAATT